TCTCCACCAGCTCGGTAGAAATGCCCTGAAGAGGCATTTCCGGCTGGGATGCGCTGCGGATGCGTTTTCAATGTGCTTCCGGCTGGGCTTCCTTGCAGCTGGAAACGCACTGCGGCACGACAGCAGAGGCAGTGTCTTTCTCAGTTGATACCGAAAACGCCTGCGCGCCGTCGCGGCAGGTGAACTCTGTGAAAAATGTTCCTTCTAGCGCAAGTTTGCGATGTCACACCCAGCGGGCGAAGCTATTCGAATCTCGTAACGAACCTATAGTGGCAATCAGAATTGCGTTTTAACAGATCGTACGAATTCATTCTTATGTAGTTGTGTTCAATCAACATACATCTTTATACGAAACTTCGAAAACAGTAATCTAGTCTCCGCCCTCAGACACAAGCTTGCCTATACTCTCTGGCGGGCCACTTTCAGAGACCTCCGACTACGTAAAGGGTGCATTTCTCAAAACAGAGCTCAACGACAAAACTAAATCTAGAACTACCTGTAGGTCAACGTTTTCCTTTTTAGTATATATTTTTTACGGCACTACATGCAGTTCGAATTGGAATTGCTTCTCATTCCAACCTTACTCATTGTTTTTGCTTAATTCAATTCACAATTTTCATTCTAAATATTCTCGAGAACCAGAACATCAAAATAAGTGGCATATTTTACTATGCTGGCCAGATTTGCTTCCGTCGCGAGTTATCGCTAAATGGCCAGCAGGAAATTAAGTAATTTCGACGCCCCGGCACTTTGCGCGATCTTTTTCTTTTGGCTTGTACCATCCTCGCCCCCTTGGCCTCTAGTTCAGCAAATACAGCGACACCGAGCCACGGAGTACGGTACTTACCTTTTACTTTTGGAGATGAGAGCTCTTCGTGGCAAGACATCATTTTCTTGTCGTCAAGTATGTAAGTAAGTGCAGTAAAAAATTGTGCGAAAAAAGTGAAAAGGGGGTTGGTCGATCGCCACTTCGATAGAGATCATGAGCTGCTGCAAGTCCAGTCGTGCGTGGTCAAGCTGGTGTAGTTTGCACATAGTATGTAGCTTTTAAATTAGTCAGTCTCGGTGCTTAATTTGTGGTCGCCTCAGCACCCATAGTTCCTTTGCAAGTGCCTGTCTAAATTAGATACTTGTCAGCATTCGTGCCGCTTGCTTGTCGCAGTGCCTTGTGCGCATCGTCGTTCGTGTCTAGAACTTTCCGGGCGAAAGTATTGCCGAGTCCCGGCGCCCGAGTTTTTCCACTAGATAAACCAAGCGGTTGCCGGTCCGGACCTGCGCCTTGCCCAGCGCTGCTGCTTCTTGCTTCTCCACCTGCGGAGGCAGGAGATTCTTTGCTCAACATAGATCTTGTTCCGACGTAGGGTGTCAACGCGGCAGAAAGCATCTTTCCCTCGTGGCGTATCTGTGCCAGTTCGTCGCTGTCATAGTCGTGGAGGTGTAGTTGCGCTGCTTGTGGCTTCAGCTTGTCCTCGAGGCCGACCGTGTCATGGATCATGAAGTCCAACAAACCAAACTCGTTATCCAAGTGTTCCCGGTGCGACCCCGGCCAGTGGAGAACGCCCTCAGCCCTGCCGCCGCCGATACCTCCCAGCGGGTGTAGCGGCTCGTACGGGAAGAGTGCATGCAGCAAATTTTCGAATTCATCGGACTTGCGGACGAGACAGCCACGCGGAAGCATTTGGTCTTCTGCCAGTAAATCTTCTTCGCGCAGCCGCGTGTCATGCTTTTGGGTTGATTTCCTTCTCGCAGGAACACCAGGCCGTCGTTCTGCTTCCTCCAGGAGCTGCGGGTCTCGTTGCTGTCTGCCCTTCCAGATCTCCTTGCTCGATGGCTTTACTTCTTCGTCCCCGTCTTCGAAGTCTCGCTCGCCAGAGCACCAGTTCACACTACCGCAGCAGTCCTCTCCTGCGCTGGCCGCCAGGGGGTTCAAGCGTTTGCAAACCTTCTTGACCAGCTTTTTAACCCCAGTGCTGCACCTGTTCGTTGTGTATGCGTTGATGGCTTGTAGTTGGTTTTGGTTCAGTCTTGCGACGTTCCAGTTTCCGGCTAATGGCTGCGCCGTCTCGTTGGTCCTTGGTACAATGTCTGCCAGGGAGGTGTACTCGTACACACAGAATCTACTACTGTTTCGACCCGTTGCCCCGTCGTGCATTTGTCCATCTGGTGCATGGTTCTTTCCCACGTCCAAAACACCCACCGGTGCGTGAGCGGAATGATCAAGACTTATCACGTCAACATCTTCCTCGTCTACCTCTCGGAGGTCCTCACGACACCTTTCGTAAGCATTGCGCAGAGTAAGGGCAGCCAGGCCTTTTACAATTTGGTCTTCTTGCTGGACGCAGTCAGGCTCCGCATCCTGTACATCATTTACTTTTGCCGGAGTAGCTCCAGTACTACAGATTCTCCTTCGCGCTCCAGGTTTTTGCGGGCCGTTGGCCTTTGGATTTCGAAATTCGTCTGCCTCAGGCACTTCTTCATCCTCGGGGGATTCGTCAGTCGTCGGATCTTGAGTGGAAAGATCGTCATCGGGACCACTGAGAAAGCCCAGTGGGTCGAATGGCGGCTCCTGTAGATCGGTGCTGAAAAGTTTTTTTCTACCTGCCGCAACTCGCTGCGGACTAATTACGGAGGTACCGGTGACTGTCCTCGTCTGACCAGGAAGTGCAGCTGTGGTTCTAGTGTTGTCCGCAGGATCCGCCCTTACTTTCACATCTGCATCGTGGGAATTGATTGTGACGAGCTGCTGGAAGGCAGCTAAGAACGGTGTTGTAGTGGATGTTGCAGTTGTCCTGCTTTTGCTGACGCCGGTCCCCCTTGCCCTGGATTTGCTTGTGGCGAGGCAGTTTGTGTCCTGCGTGCCGTACATTCCACTGAGCACCGGAATAGTTGTGGTTGTCTGACTGAGTGTGTGCCGCCCGCCGGCGCGTTGGTCCTCCTGCGAAAGTGGAGAAGACGGCGCTACCACCCGCGAATGCGGTTGATCAGCAGCTGCAACTTCAGGCGCGTTCATGCTCGCCCGAGACCACCCATTGACAGAAACAAGTTCGTCGTTCAGGGCTTCCATTCGCTTCTTCGCGCCGCCGACAGATGACGGGGGCTGCATTGCTCTTCTGTCCCGCGAGGAAGTTGTAGATCCAGTTTTCCTCGGTTTATCATCCCCGCGGAACCACACCTCGTCGAGATTCGGGATGTGCTGATTTACATCGTCATCAACCAACAGCATTCTTTCCGCCGACAGTCGGAGTTTCGGCGCGAGCACTCGCAGCAGACTCGCTTTACTGATGGCCGGAATTTTGACGCTGTGCGGATTGCTACGCGCAGGTGGCCACAGTGCGCGCAGAAGTCCCTCAAACCCGTTTCGCGCGCGTTGCAAAGCGTCGTCATCCAGCCCCAGATCGCGCGCGCCTAAAGGGAACTCCCTGACGTCCAGCCGAGCTGCGTACCGCTCCCAATCGTGACTGTGCAGGTAACCGTGGTCGTGTCTAATAGTAACGCCGTGTAGGAAAGTTCTCACCGACTTCTTTACGTCTGGATTGGTCACAATGTGGCTGTCGTGCAGCGATATTATATGCTTGAAGTAGGGCAGCAACCCGGGAACGCAGTTCCGCAGGAAGGAAAGGATGCGATACACTCCACCTTGATTTCTGGTCATCAGCAGGAGTTTCATACCGGCATTATGCGCCATGCGGACTGTGTGCAGTAGCCTTTCGATTCGGTAGTTGCCGCCCAGTTTTACAAACCCTGGCAGCAAGGCCAAGGTAGTCGCGACCCCAGAATATTGTTGCTGCTGCTGCAGCTCCTGATGCTGGTCGCGTGTGCGCCGGTCAGAAGCAGAGCTCTCTTGCGCTCCTATGTTAGCTGACGCCGATCCTAGAGATGAATATCGCTCGCCAAACGACGGCGTTCTTCTCGAAGAGGGCAAAGACGCCGAAGGACTGGTGCTATCATTTACGTCTTCGAACCTCACGCGTTTCGGTTTCCTCTTTTGCCCATCTACGTTCTTGTCGGGAACCGCTTCAACTGTAGCTGGTGTAGTTCCTGGTTTATCGAATCCCTTGCCGCCGCCCATCGAGATAGCACAGTGGGAGCGCTTTGTCGCATCGCTGTCACCCGACCGGATGTCGACTGTGATCAGGGAAATAGTTTCGTCCAGGTCAAAGACGATGGTGTCCGTCCGTAGCGCCGGCTGCCCGATGACATCGAGCCGCCGATAGCATGTCAGGCCCTTGTCGTTCTGTATCAGCTCCCATTTTCTGTCCGTCGTGGGGCTAGCGAATTCACCTTCTTCGGAATCCGAATCTGCCGCGGCCCTGAAACCGAAAAGATCCGCAGCGGTTGCGGTGCGGAAGAACCATGCCAGTGCTAGTGAGAAGGTCAGAAATGAAATGTGCCGACCCCAGATTCTGAAACCCCTCAACCGCGGACCGCTGGCTTTCGAATCTCTTGTTGGGGATACCATATGTTTGTCTTGTTTGTCTTTCCGTTATATTTCTTTTCCTTAAAGCCAGAACTATGCGGGGTATTTAAGTTTACGAAAAGCTAAACTTCTTGTACTTTCAATGTCAATGTTGAACACACGAAATCAAAATCAATACGACCTGTAAACGCAATGAATTATGACAAAAAGAAAAATGTCAACGGAGGTCCTTGTATGAGCAATAAATATTCACGGCGAAAAGCACTCGTCAGTACAAGGATCGATATGATGTATCTGTATGATGCAGCTTCTCAGCATCGAGAAGTGAAGAAATACCAGATCCATGCTGTCCAAGCGGGCTGCGACACGAGTGTCACAGCATGCCTGGACGAAAGTCAGCGCGTAGGTCCACCCTAGGGTAGACCGCAAGCGCGGACTAGTAACGCACTCCGGGGAGTGCGTCAGCAAAGACCCAGCAGAGCACACACCGCGACAAGGTCGGGGTAGTGCTAGCTGGTCGCTACATCAGGGTGTAGGCGGGCGGGGAAAACTGAAAAAATATCCAGAAATCCCAGCCGGGGCTGTAAATGAATGTATGAACGATGAATATGAACGAGACCGATCTTGCTGACGATGCTTTCACTCGAAATATTTATCCCGTAAAAATATTCACGGTGAAAAGCACTCGTCAGTACAAGGATCGATATGATGTATCTGTATGATGCAGCTTCTCAGCATCGAGAAGTGAAGAAATACCAGATCCATGCTGTCCAAGCGGGCTGCGACACGAGTGTCACAGCATGCCTGGACGAAAGTCAGCGCAAAGGTCCACCCAAGGGTAGACCGCAAGCGCGGACTAGTAACGCACTCCGGGGAGTGCGTCAGCAAAGACCCAGCAGAGCACACACCGCGACAAGGTCGGGGTAGTGCTAGCTGTGGCTTTCCTCCTCTTCACGGGCGCGAAGAGTGCTTCTGTATTTTGGCTATCGTGTGCACGATAAAGCGCCCCAAACGTTCTCAGGGCGTCGCTGATATGATCTGAATCTTATGAGGGACGACCGGTCTGATCCAGGGGATCAGTAGGAGCACAAGGTAGAGATCTGAGCACAAAAGATCAGTGTAGGTCATGGAGGGGACACCGTCAGGCACTGCTCTGTTATGCTGGAAGATCTCATGCTTGGGCTGCGAACTACAAGCGTAGTACTTGCGACTGGTACGAAAGGAACTCGAGAAAGGCTTCGCTTGCTACAGACATTCTTCTCCTCCTGCTGGGAGATCATTGTTTTTCTTGCATTTTCAGATTGAAACACGAAACGATCATACAGTAAACCACCACTGAGTGTCTGGGTGGACGTAAAACTTGTGGCTGATGTATTTCAAGCAATCCACTGAATAGGTTTCCTCCCACATCAAACTTGACTCTGACCATCCAAAATGGCTTGTCACTTTCCTCTTGAAAACTTCAAATTTCTTCATTGCGATCTCATCGCCCGCGGGTGTTGCACCGCACTCCAGGCTTCTGAACCTGAGCCACATCGCTAAGCTTCTTCTGACTCCGTATGGCGTTGTGCCTAACTTTCTGCACAAAATGTCCATCTCGGTTTTGTGCGCCGGGAAGTCTGCTGGATACCTTGTAATATTTGTATGCACTGAGGCAATGGGGTATATGCACTCAAAGCATGTATGCAAATGCTCTACACTGCTCATAGGCTACCATCACTAAACTAATAGCACCATGAATTCTGTGGAATTCTGGCATAGAAACTCTCGCCTGGCACGGCGAACACTTTTTCGGATGTGACTAGTGTTCTGACGAAGCGCCCCGGTGCTTCCGGGTCATCCTTGACTTGCAGCGGGTCTATCGACGCAAAGGCTGATGGTCGGAGTCCTGTGGGCGCCCACATGGCGAATAACCGAGATTCTCTTGCGTTCAGCAGGTTCAGCTTGCTCGTGTCAGGCGGGATGGCTCTTTTAACTGAGAGGTCCTTCGCCAGGCTCTTCAGTCTGTGGTATGTTGCTTGTTGTATTTGCTGGCAGTACGACTGTGTCTGCTCCAGAAGCTCCAGCGATCGTAATCTGATAGCGATCGTCGAGATGTACGGGATCGGGTTCCCGATATCTTTTTCGCAAATCCAATTGGCAAACGGGATGAGGTGGTGGCTGAAGGTGACATTGGCGTGTCGCTTTTTGATTACTTCTACTTCTGCTTGTGTGGTGAAAGTGTGGGGAATGAAGAAAAACTCCGGGTGGTGCAGCTGACAATAGCGCATCCAAACTCTCCACTTTGAATTTCGTGTCTCGACTTCACCTGAGAAGAAAATAAATGCGAAGAAGACAGGGGAGGTATGTACTCTCTGTCATGTAGCCTTGCTCTCCTCTGATTTGCAAAGGGAAAAAACACTACTCATCTCAGATACCTACAATGCGGCAATCCCGCTCTTCTTCAGGCCAAAATAGTAAGACTGTCTGTGGTGGTAATGGCCATTGTATGCTGATGTGATAGGGTACGATGTTTGGGGCTTTCTTTTGGGCGAGCAGGGTAGACCAGCGCTCCAACTGTGTCTTGATCCCATTAAAATGGTGACAAACTTTGCCTGCGCATCGTGCGAAATCACACGACTTCTTCGGCTCTTTCAGCTTGGCCTTCTTTTTCTGGTCGGCCTGTGCATTTTGAAACAAATATGTGAAGCATCTGCTCTTTCCTAATATCCCCTAGCATCAGTTCGTCATGTAACTCTTCGCATTCTTTTGCCAGCAATTCTAGCTCCTGCATGACTTCGCTTCGCGAAAGTGGAAACTTTGTGCTGTATGATCGGCTTAGTGAATCCATCACTTCTATTCTTGTTGTCGCATCCGCACTGTTCAAATGCGTTGAGACATAACTATAAAAGTACTCAACTTGCTGCGAATATGCTCTGTCACTTAAGATGCTAATCACGGACGCTGTTTTTGGACAATCAACTGATGCATTCACTATACCGTAAGTGCGCGAAGAGTTGTCCACATTGACTATGTAGCTCGGCGATTCGCTAAATCTCGTCAGCAGCCGCTGTCCTAATGCCACTGCAGCCGCCTCGTAGCACATTACTGTTGACCTTTTGAAAAAGGACGGGACTTCATCTTGACTAGTATGCAGGAAGAAACCTATACTGCTAGCCTCGTCTTCTAAGAAACTTATCGCGCCGAAACTAATTTTCCCGTCGCTTTGTGATGCGGCTGCGTCTGTAAACATGTGCACTCTGTCCCTACACATTTTGTCTCGGGCTATGCCTGTCTTGTCTCTTCTCTCTATGATCTCCTTGCACTTTTTCAAGACTATCAGTAACTGCTCGCGTCTGCTTTTGCTGCTAATATTTTGGGCAAAATTTTTGGGCTGCGATGTAAGTGCAAAAATGTGCTTTAATACCGGTAAACTTCTTCTAAATTTCCTACTGTACATCGCGTGACAGAGTAACCCTTGGACTTTTTCCAACTCTTTGTGCGTCGATTCTAATGTCCGCTGGTCTGGATCTCTGATCAAATTTGCCACCCTATCTAAGTCGGCCGCAATCCGCTTAGCTTTTGCTTCTGGTAAGAAGAATTCAATTGAGTCTGTTAGTCTTCTGCATCCTATTCCTAAAATTTCCCCTATGTCTTGGCTTGGGAGCATTTGCTCGTGCTTCTCTGGTGCTAAGGCTATGCCCCATATTGCTAGCACGCGCCTTATGAAGCGTTCGTATAGCGGTGCTAAAGTTCCGCCCTGATCTGAAAAGTAGACTAAATCATCTACATACTGGAATACTGGTACTTTCCCTATTTGGTTGAACCATTTTTCCATCCATTGGCTGCAACAGGCGCAGAAGCCATATATGGAATGAATATTGCCGAAATTCAAACAACGTAAGAATCCGAATTCCATACGCTGTTTTTCGGGGCAGTATATTTGAAATCCATTTTGTTTTGGATCTTTAACTCCATATTGCCAATAGGCACTAGCAAGGTCGTCTTTGCTAAGACAGGGCAAAAAGGATTTTCCTTTGTGCTCTTTTTTCTTTCGTGGCAGCGTGCGGATGTCGCGCCAGGTCATCTTTTTGAGATTGCCTTTGCGCCACTTTTTAGCTTTGTCGCTTGCTACTTGTATGCTTCTAAGTACGTCTTTCTTATTTTCGAAGTATGAGTCTTCGTACTCTGGGTTGCAGCAGTACACAATGCCCTGCAAGATTTCGGGTAGGCCGCTGAACGTAAGATGTTCGACTGGCGGGCTTAAAATTTTATTCCTATATTTCTCATTGCTAATAGGGCGCACTTTACTGCGCTGTCCTGTTTCGTGGCACTTTTTCTGGCCCAGGCCAAAAATGGCTGCGAACCATGTGCCCTGCTCTATTTCCCATTTTGCACAGGATTCACAGAGCATAGACGCCAGTCCTGCGTCCATGAGCTTGCTGTAGCTTTTGTACGACCTTTCTGTGACGTCTTCCGTTTCGAAGTGCCACGGGCCGTCTCTGATTTGGGCAAACTTATCTAGGCTTGATTTTCGTGCTGGATCGTTTATGTCGAAGTTTGATAGATTGCTAAGCTCTGACTTTGTCACTTCTTTGCCATTGGGCCAGGCTCCATATTTGGGTAGCTGCCCCTGACTTTCTAAACCACAATTAACATATCCTTTTTTCCCGTAAAGCAGCGTCCTGCGGTCTGGGTCCAAATAATTGCACTGCTCCGCTGCGTGAAAGTGCATGAAGGTGCTCATCCTCCTGCGGTGTATAAAAATGAATGATGTCGATGGCATGCAACGCTCGATACGCAAGAAACAAAGTGCATCACCCCAAAGAGGATCAAACATAACTAGTACTTGGTGTTGTAGATCGTGTCCCATCCCTCGAAGTAGTCATTGATCTTCTTGATGTGATCCGGTTTTTCTTTTTCGTACTCCGCTATCGTCGTAGCGTTGTCGCGCTCCACTTTTAACAAGTCCTCGACTAATTTGTCTCGCCTTTCTGCTTCCCGCTGAAATCTTGTGAGCGGGTCATAGTCGTGTGTCGACCTCAGGTGGTCTATCGACATCTTCCAGTCTGGTGTGACTACCGGCATCCTGGTGGTGGCTTTTTTGGGGGGTCGGAGGCTTACTGCACGAGGTTGCATTGCTGCTGCCGCAACGAAGATGAAGGGGAGAGTCATCATTTTTCCATGGTCATTGTCCGCTTGCTATGTGGGTTTTGAGAAGAGGAAAAAGTGGCGCGCTGGCTAGTATGCAGGTCTGAATACTGGTCCTCTTGCTCCCTGTCATAGCATCTAAAATTACTCTCACAACTCTTTGTGTTACAGAATCGATAACACGAACTGTATTTGTGGGGACAAGGTAGGCAGCCTTGCCTCGGCAACCTTGTCACTAATGGTGCTGCGAATCAGGTATGAGTGGTTCCGTCTTACATCTTGCACAGCAGTAAATTTGTGTTTGACAGACATGAAAAGCGAGCGAAACTGATACTCCCATGAAAAATCCATTGCTTGCGATCGAAACGATTATGCCGTAGCAGCCGCTCCAGCTTCAGCTGTGGCTGCCTCGGTGTCATTGCTGGTAATGGTAGCTGCCGAACTTGAAGGGGCGCCCTTCTTTGCCTTCTTGGTAGGCCTGGGGACTGCTTTCACAGTGGGACTTTCTTTGTAGACTTTGGCTGCTTGCGAGTGCCACTTGTCTTTCCTACACTCACTACCATCCTTATGCTTGCAAGAGATTAGCTCTCCTTGCGCATTTGTGATGCCGTATTTTTCGGCCAGCGCCGGGATGCAGCAATTCTGGAAGTTGAACTTGGCCGGGTCTTTGTCGATGACTTCGCAAATACTATTCCGCGTGTGATCCAAGAACAAGAAGAAGCCCTTGCTCTCATCACTGCCCTTGCCTGTGCCTGCTCCTCCTCCTTTTCCTGTTCCTCGGCCTTTGCCTCCTGGAGTGTAACAGAAAGGAAAATATAATGACTCACTGGTGCTGCATTTCCCGAGGAAGCAACAAAGCTACCTATATTGCATGCATGCATGATGCAAGAAGCTAAAATGTTCTAAGCTGATACCTCCTCTGTTGTCTCTGCTGCCTCCTCCCTTGTTGTTGTTGTTGTTATTATTGTTCTTTCCCTTCCTGTTTTTCCCTTTGGCGTTCTTGATCTTCTCCATGAAGTCCCTGTCTTCTTGATCCTCTTCATTCACGTCCATGCGCCACTTTTTCAAGGCGTTTGTGTAGTCCTTTGGCTTGAAGTCGTTTTTGTTGAACTTTTCGTCTGTGTGTAGCTTGTCGATTACTACTAAAACTCCCTTCGCTTGCGATAACTTTTCGGCACAAAACTTTTTCCAGATTGCGTCTTCTCTGATGTTCGACGCTACTAAACCGCACTTGCTTTCTGCACTGTCCGTCCACACCCCCTGCAGCAGTGGCGCTGCAGCTAAGATGGCCGCGTAACTAAACTTCTCGACCAACGAGAACGCGCTGGCTCTGCTTGAAATCTGCGGGCTCCTGTCGCCGTCACTCCTGTTCGGCGCCCAGTCGTCCTTGACCTGGGAGGGAGAGAGAAAATAACGCATGCTGCAGGTTTGTGGTGCAGTGCTGTATGTCTGTCATGCTCGTGCTGTGTGCACTTGGTTATTGTCCAATGTTTTCTCGACTTAAAAAAGGGGGGCACCTTTTCTAACATCCTCCTCAGCTCTGTCAGCTCCTGCGGCGATTTTACCCCGATCCTATTGCACAGGTGGGAATCGTCAGCCGCTGCCCCTCTTGTGATCTGCAGCAGCGTCTTCATTACTCTGTCCTTGTCCACGAAGGATTTTGGCCAATTGAAATTGGCTTTGCTCGGTTCTAGCTTACATCCGTTCGGGTGATCCTTCAGCATGTCACGCCATCTCTCTTTTCGCAATCTGCCCTGCTGTCCAATTATCGTCA